CACAGGCCGAGGCGCCCTGAAAACGGGCCTGGCCCGTGGGTGGTGGGCGGCGTCTGCAACCCTGAACCGAGTAAGAGCAAGACCCTACGGTTCACTGGCCTTCTGGGGCCTGACATGCTGGGGAGACGCCATCTCGACCGAGGCTCTCTGGGCACCGCGCATGTGTTGGGCCATCGCACCAGACTTCGTTCCTGCCCTCAGGGAGCTTACTGTCTATCCGGGACAGCAGATGTGGAAGAGGGCGGGTCAGTGTGTGAGAACACGCATTTCTAAGCAGCCAGCAGTGCTCAGTGTGGAAGAATTGGGTGGCTTTGGGTGGCTGAGTTTAAGGTGGCTCTGAGTCACTTAATGAAGACGCCAGCTCGCCCTGTGCTTGGGCGCCTGCTGGGGTGGGGAGGGCGGGTGTCTCAGTCCATCTGTAAAGGAGTACCTGAGGCTGGGTCGCTTAGAAAGAAAAGAGGCTGGTTTGGCCCTCGGTTCTGCAGGCTGTGCTGGAAGCGTGGCACCGGCACCTGATTCTCTGAGGCTGCAGGCGGCCTCGGACCACGGGCGAGAGAGGAAGCCAGAGAGGGCAGTGGCGCCAGGCTTGTTTAAGCAACCAGCTCTTTTAGGGACTGGCAGCTTGAGAACTCCCTGGTTACTCGGATCCACCCTCGTGATCCAGGTACCTCCCCACAGCCCCCCGTCCAGCACTGGGGGCCGCATTTCAGTGCGAGGTGGGACCGGCCAGAGAGCCAAACCATGGCAGTGGGTGAGCCCCGACTTCGAGTTTTGCCAAGGTGATACCCTCAACCATCCTCGTTGAAAAGTCCATTCTTGGTACGTCATGAACCGTGGATCAAATTCCTTTGATTCCTTTGTGTACTAACTTGTGAGCTTTTTTTTTTAGATGTCCTTGGTGGATGAATTAAAAACCTGGTGTCTGTTGAAGATTCAGAGTCTGGAGCTGAAACTTTCTGGAGATTCCCGGGCCTCCAGAACCAAATCCGCACCGTCTACGTGCGAGTCCTCCACAGGTAACTCACATCCAGAGAGCGCCTGTCCATCCAAAAGTAACGCAGCCCGTGGGTCTCGTGTCGCCTGCGTCTGACGCAGCCCGTGCCCGGGTTGTGGAAACGCTGGGCTGGAGAACGTGCTCTCTGGGGGCGAGGCCCTCGTTCTGCTCATAGCTCCAAACTCAGCTCCCGCCGGGTCCCAAAGCACGTGCGGGCTCGGACTGGTTCCAAGGGAGGAATCGCACCGCCTTGGGCCTGATGCCGATGGTGTCCGAGTGGGCCAAGCGGAGGGGATGGGTGGCTACCGCCACCTCAGCCGGCTCTCCCGTGCCTCCTGTGCCTTTTGCACCTTTCTTCTCGACTGACTTTCTGCCTTTGACTAACTACGAAGATCCTTATCAATAGTTGTTCATGAACTCGTGCCCGGTGCTAGGTAAGAAACGCTTCAGGCAAAGCATCTTGCGGCAGCCACAGCGATTCCACCCTGTAACGATCGTTTTGAGGACACTGAGAGCCTCGGCAACCAGGGCCAGTGGCCGTCTTGCTGTGTTCAGGGTTCTGTGTCACCGCAGAGCCTCGCTGGAACTGTGGTTTCGTCTTTGTGCCAGGAGCGCTGGGGAACAGCCCGGGCGCGATTTTCTTGCTGGGACTCACACGGGGCTTGTCGTGGAGCACCGGCTACGGGGAACAGGGCCTTTCCAGCACGGGGCGTGGGCCCAGGAGCTAGCACCCCGGGCTGTGGAACGGAATGGGCCCGGTCATTAGAGAAGGGGGGTCTTTATCCTTGTAGGTGAATGTCCAGTTCGCTCGGACACCTGGAGAGCTGTGTCATCCTTGGACTTCGGGAAGGGGCCCCGTAGCACTCTCTGGCATGCTGAGGCAGCTGAAGGAAGGCCCGGCAACTTTTTTGACTTCGAAGCTACCAGTGTGGCCGACCCCGAATCCACGAAAGCCCTGGGAAGCCAAAGGATGACCAGGGGAGGCAGAGTGGAGGGAGAAGCAGAAGGGTGGGAAGGCCCTCCGAGGGGAAGGTTCGCGCGGGAGGGATCGAGACGGCCGGCGACGCACAGGTTCCCAGGCCTCGCAGTCCAACTCCGACCCGCGGCCGTGTGATGATGTGAATGTGGATCTGCTCTGACACTTGTTCTCCCTCTGCAACCAGGTGTGGATCAGCCGGTGGTGACTGCAGGGCCGGCAGCGGCCTCGGACAGCTCCCCTCCGGTGGTCAGGCCCAAGCACAAGGCCCTCGGCTCCGCAGCCACGCACCGGCTCCAGCAGGACCTGTCTTCTTCCGACGGCACAGGCTCCCGACGGAGGCACGTCGAGGTCCAGGCAGCCATGCCGCCCTCCAGCGAGGCCACGTGTGAGCGGCCGGCGGGGCCCGGGGTGAACAGAGGCACCCAGACTAAGAAGCCTGGCAGGAGCGGACAGACAAGGCACCGAGCCCAGCACCCGGCGGCCGGCAACAGCGGTGGGCAGCCGCCGGCAGGCAGCGGGCAGGCCGCCCCTCACCTCCGAGACACCTCCCAGGCGCTGGAGCTGACCCAGTACTTTTTTGAGGCTGTTTCTACACAAATGGAAAAGTGGTACGAAAGGAAGATTGAAGCGGCGCGGAGCCAAGCCAGTCAGAAGGCCCAGCAGGACAAGGCCACTCTGAAGGAGCACATTAAAAGTCTGGAGGAGGAACTTGCGAAGCTCAGGACGAGGCTGCAGAAGGAAAATTAGCCCCCGGAGCGTGGAACGAGAACGGATCCCTGAGGATGTCCCGTCTACAACTGCAGAGAGCTTTGCCCAAGCAGTCGATTACCGTGTACATAGCAGACTTGCCTTTAAAAAGAAATCACTGATTTCTAAAATGTGCCAGATACATGTTTGCTGTGCCCCGAAGTTATGAAGACTTCAACAATTACACTGAAACCAGGGGGAGCTTGCTTAGTTTTGAGTTCATCTGAAGTTCAAAAGCTCAGACTAAGCAAGCCATGATGAGAAACTGAATAAAGTGTGAGCTAAACCCTAAAACTCAAGATGTGGAAATACGTCAAAAGCAAGACAAAAATGAATCCCTTCTGAACTCAAGCAGTCATTCATATAAATGTGAACACACCTGCTGTGCCTAGACGAGTGTCTTTTGGTAAGAGCGCTGTAACTTTGAGATGTGCTAAACCCTGCCTAACATTCGCGATTCTCAAAATGCTGACATTTTAGCCAGATGAAAACTTGCCAGATTTTGAGGAGAAAGATTTTCGTGACGTTACAAGATCCAGTATATCTTAAAATGTATTGAAAGTCAGCTTATTTAAATAATAAATAATTAGTCAACAGCTCTGGAATTATTGAGATCAAATGAGAAAAGTTCAAATCATTTGACCATTGTTTCTAGATTTTCAGCCCCGCAAAATCACCAATTAATCAATGATTTAAAGCAAATGAACGGAAAAACCATTCACGTAACAATTACTTGAAGCTTCTATAACCTTGTCCTAATCCAATCCAATTATCTGCGTACCCTTCTGAATTTGAGAGTATTGCTCCATATTTTAATAGAAAAATAAGGCTGTTTTCTACAAATGTTTTTTTATTATTATTATTTTTTTTTGAGTTGGAGTCTCTGTCGCCCAGAGTGGAGCGCAGCAGCCGCTCCCGGCCACCGCAGCCTCCACCTGCTGGGCTCCGGCGATCCTTCCGCCTCAGCCTTCCCAGTAGCTGGAATTACAGGCATGTGCTACCATGCTCGACTGATTTTTTAAAATTTTATTGTAGAGATGAGGTCTCTCCAAGTTGCCCAGGCGGGTCTCAAATCCGCAGGCTCAGGCAATCCACTCACCTCAGCCTCCCAAAGCGTGGGAATACAGGCTGATCAACCGAGCCCCCCTCAATTGTTTAATTTTGAATTAAGTTCTGCCACTAAAGAATCTCAAAAGCTTACGACAAGGCATATAATTCAGCAACCAAACAGGCCCCACCGTTCCCAGCTCCGTAGAACCCTGAAGACTTATGATTGCCCCATAATGAAACATAAACACAAAGTTGTAAAAGTAGCTTGGGTATATTGAAACTTTGGACAAGCTTCTTTGTCCCTTGCGATGTGGGATTTATATGTCTCCTCAAAATCCCATGTAAACATAGAAACTTCAATTCAATTTCTATAAACAGGAACCTAGTAACTATTGTCCATAATTGTGGATAAAGTGCTGTTCATCGAGCCAAAGAGAAAATAAAGACTTTTTGACATGGGAACACCAAGAAAGACAAAGTAGGTTTTGCCAAGCTCATGGCTTTGAATTTTTTTTTTTTTCAGTAAAAATCCATGAATATAAACATTCCTAAAATGAAGTAATTCAGCAGATGCGTCACTGACCGGCGTCCAGGACCTGATATGGAATGAATCTCAAGTTGATGTTCATGTGTCTGTGAACTTGTCTTGCTCCTCAGCTACTGTGTAGGTGGACGGTCCTTCCCCCAGAGACTCATGGGATTGTTCATGCAGAGGCAGGTTCTCTTTCTTCCCTCTGTGTTCCTAATGCAGAACCGTGGAGCCGGAGGGGACCTGTTTTCCAAATCTACCCAAACAGGACGTCGCTAACCTCTTTAGAATCATTCCTGAATGTACCTCAATTGACGAGAACTGCCTAACACTCAAAGGAGAAATGAACTCCTGAGTTCAGTAAGTCGTGTTCCAAGCAGGAGTTATTTTCACTTACCAAAATATCCGTTACTTCAAGGCATCCTTGTCAAGAAATGGTGAACACGGAATTGTAATGATCAAGGCTAGACCACAGAGTGCTTTGGTGGGAGCATTTTGATTATATACCTCCTACCCATCAGAAGCAGGCAGCTCATCGTTGTGAACCGAGTATTTTTGTCAAAAGCCACTGTTAGGGAAGAGACTGGGGAGGAATGAGAAGGGTGCGATGGACCTGGTCTGGCTGACTAAAGGGATCTCCTCTCTTGCAGTCTGTCACAGAAGGGAAAACCAGCAGGGTCAGTCAGTCAGTCTGCTACACCAGAGAGATGGCCACATCTCAATTAAGACCAGTGCAATAGCTTTTCATTTTCAACAACTGTGTTTGGTCTGGTTTTGCTCCTTGGCATTGTGAAAAACATAACTATATAGGTCCAGTGTATATTTGTCCTTATTTTTCCCTTTTGGCTATCGGCTTAGATGAGTAAATGCCATAACTGTACTTTTCCAAAGAAACAGAACTATTAATAATTTATAGGCTGTCACATAGGCCACGTTTCAAACTGAGGCTGAAATTTTCACTACTGTGGGGGGAAAATGATGTAAAACACAGAAAAGCTGTATAATATGGCAGTGTTTTTAAAAAAAAATTTAGTGCATTATTGCATTGAGTATACTAAATATCTGTGATAGATTGAATATGTCAGTCCTAATCTTACTGTTGACTTTGGGAGCCCAAAATAAAGGAAGTGTTGTTTACTTGTTTATCCTTCTTGAGTCAGACGTTGATATACTTGAGAGGCATGCTGTCTTCTACTTAATCTTTTTATCACCGTGAGTTTGTGTCTCTTCCAAACATTAAACATTGTTCCTGATACTATGGATCTTAAATTTCTCATCTAAAAAACGACAGTGCGACTGCCTTGGTTAGCCTGTTTGCATCTGTTGTGGCTGACTGACTTATGGCTCCTGAAAGAGCGCTGTCACCCAGCTACACCTGACCTTGTGTCTGTAAAAGTGTAATTTAGAGTAAATACATCTGCTGCAAAGTTGAGTTCAGGTGCACTGCATCAAAACAAGACTTTGGTAATGTAGCAAGGTTTCTCAGTGCAAGCTGAAATGTTTAAACTGTTGACCATTTGGAAAATACTGGACAACAGGAAAGGACAAATCACTATTGTAATAGTTACTTGATATGCAAGCCAAGGCAACGTTATGCTTTTTGACTAATAAATTCTTAAAAGTTAAATACATTTCTTCCTGCGATGTACAGATTGTAAAAGCTAATCAAGAGTGGACATGGTGGTCCACACCTGTAATCCCAGCAGTTTGGGAGGCTGAGGGGAAGGAGTGCTTGAGCCCAGGATCTCAAGACCAGCCTGGGCAACACAGCGAAACCTCATCTCTACCAAAAAAATTTTAAAAACAGCTGTGTGTGGTGGTGCACGTCTGTAGTCCCAGCTACTTAGGAAGCTGAGGTGGAAGGATCACCTGAGTCCATAAGGTTGAGGCTGTGGTGAGCCAGAATTGTGCCACTGTACTCCAGCCTGGGCAACAGGGTGAGACCCTGACTCAAAAAATAAAAAAAGCCAGCCGGGCCCAGTGGCTCAGCCTGTAATCCCGCGCCTTTGGGAGGCTGAGGTGAGTGGACTGCCTGAGCCCGCGGGTTCAAGACCTGCCTGGGCAACTTGGCGAGACCTCATCTCTACAATAAATCAAAAATCAGCCGGGCATGGTAGCGCGTGCCTGTAGTTCTAGCTACTTGGAGGGCTGAGGCGGAAGGATCGCCGGAGCCCAGCAGGTCGAGGCGGCGGTGGCCGGGAGTGGCCACTGCACTCCAGTCTGGGCGACAGAGTGAGATTCCAACCCCCCCAAATAAATAAATTTAAAAAAATTAAAATTAAAAAAGCCAATCAGTTAAGACATACAAGATAAACCCTGATCTTAAAAATACTAACAACCAATAAAACAAAAATTTTTTAAGACTTGAAGTCTTATTTTTAGGGGGAACATACTCTTTCCATTTAAGTCACGGGATGTGAAGGTACTAATTTAAATCATGGGATGAAAAATAAGACACAGTAGAGCATTTTTAAAATGCAAGTGAGTAAAAAGTGATCGCAGAGGCCTGAGTCAATCGCAAAAACTGCTTTTGATCCACTTTGGGCCTTAGTCTACATAGCCCCAACTCTTTTCCAAAGTAGACATGGCTGCTTCCTGTGGTTTTTACTAGCATTTTCTTACTCCATACGAGCTAGAGATAGGTAAGTGTGGGTCTCTCAACTCTAAGTGTCTACTGGGATGTCCACAATGCTACGAACAGTAGGGAATTACAACCTGCTTTTCACAACGATAACAAAGTTGTTGGGCCACTGCTTTTGTTGAGCACTGGTCAGGCATGTGTTCATTGAGCTACGGCCACCATGTTTTCCAAAGCTTTGGCCCCCTTCCCTGCCTTGGGGAGGTGAATCTCCTCTCTCTCTCTCTCTCTCCAATTTACTTTCTAAAATACATTATATTCTCCAATTTAACTTGTGTGCAATTCTTTGCACCTTCCACGTGGTACCAGATCACAGACCCCCCCAGTCTGACATGTTCTTAGAGGCCCTCCTGGGAGTCTGATCTAATATTCACCATTTTCCCAACTCTGCAGCTTCTCCCCAGCTATGCTGTTCCTGGCCCTGCAGTCACCCTTCCCTGGTCATCTGCTTGTGAAAAGGACACCTGCCCTTTAAGGTTCCACTTCAGTGTCACCTTAGCACTCACCATAACGCCTCGGTTGTTTTCCTTCAAAGCATCTTCCATGGATCTGCTTGGGTAGATGTATTTTTCCTCTCCAAGATGCCTGGTGGAATTTATCACCTACTTCTCCTCTAGATCCCACCACATTTTTTCTTGACTAACGATTATTGCACTTGACTATAGGCCTGAGCCTCCCCTTTCATGCTGTGGGGTTTTTCTCAATGGCAGGAAGAAACACTGCACCTAGCTTGGCTTCCTCCAGAGCATGTTGAAGCTTGTCTCTCCTTTTATGAAGAAACCTGATTAGCTCCTATGAGCACTGTCGGCAAATGGACCTGTCCTGGGGACCAAGGAGTTGAATAAAAGAGTCCTTTCCACCCAAAATGCCTCAGACTGGGGACGAAGGCAACCCAGAAATCTGGGATCTAATGAAATAAAAATCCTCTGTGACCCCCGGCAAGTCATTTAACTTCCGTGTGTCTTAGATGACTCATCTGTCAAAAATACCCGTGGCAAAGTTTGTACTATGAATTTACAACTTCCAACCTGACGGCACATTTTACAATGGGGCAACTTATGTGATGCTATAAATAGTCTTTGCCACTTATGCTACAAAGCTTATGTTCTTAAAAAAAGTTACTATAAAAGGGTTGATTTATTATAGTTCAAATTCAGAAACTGAACATTCAAATACATTAGAGAACAAGTTTAATATTCAAACGAGTAGTTTCAGGGAACATCCAGAAAGGTCATTTGTCGTTTAATCCAGAATACTAACCAAGATGAGTATTTCACCAGCAGTTCTATTCTGACCAACATTTTTTTTTTTTTTGAGTTGGAGTCTCACTCTGTCGCCGACTGGAGTGCAGTGGCCGCTCCTGGCCATCGACCTGTTGGGCTACGGCGATCCTTCTGCCTCAGTCTTCCAAGTAGTTGGAACTATAGGCACGCACTACCACACCCAGCTAATTTTTGATTTATTGTTGAGATAAGGTCTCACCAAGTTGCCCAAACTGGCCTCGAACTCGCGGGCTCAGGCAATCCACTCACCTTGGCCTCCCAAAGTGGTGGGATTACAGGCTGAGCCACCGAGCCTGGCCTGGCCAACATCTTAATGACTATGGTTCCATACCTGAGAAGAAACTGCTAAATAAATCATCTTTTAGGCTAAACAATAAGATGTGGCCTACAATTCAGAGGGGATAAAGCATGAAAATGGACAAATTAAACTCTTCTTTAGGCAAAAGCATGGCCATCGCAGTAATTTTAGCCTCTGAAAGGTAATTCCATTTTCACTGCTTTACTTGCTTTAAAAACAAAATCAAAATAAACCTCAACTTAGGTTTTCTTTGGAATCTATTATATTTGCATCTTGCTAATTCAAATCAGAGGTGCTTTAAGACTCCTCCATGTATACCATGGTTAGAGCACAGTTAATAACTTCTACACCTTGTAAAAGGATGATTTTTGAGTTTTCAGATTTTAGATAGACTGGAGTCTATGAGTTTATATGTCAATCATGTTCCAAAGTGTTCTGTACATCAACTGTTCACAAACATTGCTCCTGTTAGATCATTTTGCAATAGGTTAACTTCTGTTTACCTACATAAAAACCTGCAGATTCACTCATGCAAGCATTCTGAATTAGATTACCCCCATGGAAGAGTATTCAGAATCATTGTCTTGTGGTCTCCTGAGGCTCTGGGAGGTGGCTGTGGACTCTGGCAATCCAGGTCATGAACAGATGCCACAATCAAGTTCTGTTGCTCCTCAGGCATACGGTCCAGTACAGTAAGTCTCCTACATACAAACCTTCAAGTGCAAACTTTCAAAGATGCAAATGTGAGTTCACAAATCACATAAGTTACTTTATGTGTCTGGCGTGCATGCAAGATGCTGTACTATAAGATTAACAATGTTTTTATTTTTTGTTAAGTATTATTTGTGTAAATGCTCGGTGGCTCAGCCTGTAATCCCGCGCCTTTGGGAGGCTAAGGTGAGTGGATCGCCTGAGCCCGCGGGTTCGTGACCCGCCTGGGCAACTTGGCGAGACCTCATCTCTACAATAAGTCAAAAATTAGCTGGATGTGGTAGCATGTGCCTGTAATTCCAGCTACTTGGAAGGCTGAGGCGGAAGGATCGCCGGAGCCCAATGGGTCGAGGCTGTAGTGGCCGGGAGCGGCCACTGCACTCCAGTCTGGGTGACGGAGTGAAACTCCAACTCAAAAAAAAAAAAAGAGTATTATACAATACTATACAGCCCATTGTGTTAGTTGGGTACCTAGGCTAATTTTGCTGGCCTTACAAACGTGCTTTCAGAACGGAACTTGTTCGTTATTAGGGGACTTACTCTACTAGATATCATTTATGATTCTGCAAAATTGTATTACATCTTTCAGAGGCTCATCAGATTATAAGACTGGCTTCTTAGCTCTGTTTTAACAGAAGACTTCAGTTTGCAAGATTAACAATCCCAGCATCTTCTACAAGTTTTCACTTTCACATCTTTTACTAAATGAATTGTAAATACTAAATTTGGCCTCTATCAAAACTGTCCTGAAATCAACTTCGGTTGTGAGGTATTTGTCTCTTTGTTTTTCCCCGTCACTGGTGGAGATCCTAATGCACTGCACATCTAAGTGATTTTTTTACTCCTTTCCATGTGGCTATTAAGACAATTACAGAAGTTTCACCAGAAGTCTTCCCTCTTCTTTTTGGTAAGCAAGTGCTTCGATGTGTTAAGCTTTTCTGTTTCCAACAGAAATCCAGATTCCAAACAGTGATCTTTTTGGAGTCCTCCATCAAACCATGACAAATGTAAAGAACATACCTGAAACCCTAAGGGCTAATGCAAAATTTTCCAAGAAAGTTCAGGGTATCTCCTGGGCTCAATATACTCCCAGGCCTACATCTCATAGTTTTTAAAAACAGCTGAGATATAATTCACATACTATCATTTAAAATGTACAATTCAATGGATGTGGCATATTCAGAGTTGTGTAACCAACATCACACTCTAACTGCAGAATATTTCACCTCCCTGAAAAGGATCCCCCCTACCCATTAGCAGTTATTCTCCATTCTACCTACAGCCCTTGGCCACTCCTCATCTTTCTGCCTATTTTGGACATTTCATGAAATAGACTCATTGCACTATGTACTCTTTGGGGACTGACTTCTCGACAATGTTTATCCATGTGTAGCACGTATCAGTCCTTGATTACTTTTTACTGCCACATAAAGGTTATACACCTAGAACTGCTAAATCACATGGCAACTGTTGTGTTTAGCCTTTTGAGGAAATGACAGGCTGTTCTCCAAAGTGCCTGCACCACTTTACATGCGCACAGACATTAGGCAGATTCCAATTTCTCCACATCTTCATCAACATGTTGTTATTTTCCTTTATAATTACAGCCGTTCTAGAATAGATGTGAAGTGATATCTCATTGTGGTTTTGATTTGCATTTCCCCATGACTGTGTTGAGCATCTTCTCATGTGCGAAGTGGCTATTTGTTACAGTGGTTTTGCTTCAAAAACTGCTGACACATCCAGAAACGTATTCAAAACACAGGGTGTTTTTCAATGTTAAGGTAATTGTTTTGATGTGCTTTCCTTTGCGTTCTATGACCAAATACCGTACACACAAATAGTAAGACTTGACTTTGAGCTGTCCGTTAAGCCTAAGCTCAACAAAGCACTCAGAGACTTAAAATCCTTCACAATAATACTACTGTTAAGATTTTGCTAACGCAAGTGTTTTTTCTAACTCCTTCAGCTGCTTATTGCCTTGAGTAATCATCATCCGGATTGTATCCTGCAAAAGAAAGCGAAATCTGGTCACTGTTTTACCTGGTTAAACAAGGTACACAGCTTGACCATTTTATTTGTTAAAACCAAGAGCCCGTACTGGAAATTGGGCCTGCTACACTTTCCACATATTATATGACATGCATGGCTTAAAAGTTGAGTGACGCTTTTTTTATCCATACAGAAATAGTGAATCTGAGAACACCATTTGAGCGGGAGTCGCCAATCAACAAAAGCGGAAGGGCCCATCCTCATCGCGATTTCACTCTCACCTCCTCCGTGGCACTCTTGTTTCTTTGGAATTCTTCCCTCGCCCAGTCCTTCAGGTAATTCCGATCAGAGTCACCCGGAACCTGCCGAATTGCTCGCAAAATCCTTCTGTAGAGAAGGAGCACCTGCTGCCTCCTGACGAACTGAGCAAGGGAGGAGGCAGGGCGGTTACCGCGGTGCAGCTGCCAGCCCGGGAGGCCCTAATCTAACCCACCTGACCACTTCTCTGGGGTCGTCGATCCCGAAAACGGTCAAGAAAAACTTTTTAAGCCAGCCGGGTGGCTCGCACCTGTAATCCCAGAACTTTGGGAGGCCGAGGTGGGAGGACTGCCTGAGCCCGCGGCTTCGAGACCAGCCCGGGCAACCTGGCGAGCCCTCATCTCTACATTCAATCAGCAAGTTAGGCGGGCGTGGTGGCGCTCGCCTGTAGTTCCAGCTACTTGGAAGGCTGAGGCGGAAGGACCGCCCGAGCCCAGCAGGTCGAGGCTGCGGCGGCCCGGA